GGTCTTCGTTTTCATGGGCGTTGTTTCCACAATATAGACACCTAGGCGGGCCCTTGCAGACTTTAGCTATATGTCCGACTCTAAAGCACGAGAAGCATATGCGAGCTTTAGGTATATAGGGTCGTACCTCATGTCTGATTTTAAACAAGAACACTTCTCTTGGAAGAACCTGTCCAGCAAATTTAATGCGAAGTGTCTTGGAGGGTACATATTCGCTTTTACCATTTATTGTGACTCTTCTATTTAATCTTTGAATGTCCAAGATTTTGGCGGTTGGCGTTTCAATGTGTGTGTGAATGTATTCGAGTGCAAGTTCGACAGGTACATCCTGAATGACGCCTTCTCTGATGACTCTAAAGGCTGGTATGAAAGCTTTAAGGTTATGTTTAGAAAATGTTGGATTATCTACTAACCTATTAGCAGCGGTGGCAGATTTCGCCTCTATAAGGATTTTACCTTTACCGATTTTTTTGATCTCCTGTATATCTGGAATACCTGAGTTCGCGATGATACTTGAGATGACAATCGGATGTGTAGCCTTTTCACGATTCAGGTCGTAGACGTAGACCGCGTAGGGACCGTTGTCCTGGGGGCGATATTTAGGTGCAGCTTTAAGGTTAGCTGCAGCATTAGTAGTATCCTGAGAGCGCGCACCGATCGCGTCTTCTGCGTTATTTGGCCTTGGGGAGTCTCGAGGATTCAAAGTGGAAGTTGTCGAAGCGGTAGATCGCTTTGGGGGGGAGGTCGAGGAACGACCTTGTGCTTCTATCTCCTCAGAGGAATGGCGCTTCCTAGTATTTGTAATTTCGTCTATTTCCATGCTAGGATCTCTTGAGGTCATTACCTGAGAGCTATCTGATGATAGTGGGGGTGGCGATGATGATGATGGCGTAATTTCTTTGTTAGGGTTGCATGTTGCTACCTCAGATAAGCCTGCTTCGTCAAATAGCGATTTAAGCATCGAGCTAGAAAGATCGCTGGAAACGTTAGAATTCATATTAATGGGTGAGGAATTGGTCTGGTTAGACGGATTAATCACCAATGTAGGAGGATGTAGGGAGAAGGAAACACTGCGATGTGAGTTTTGGTCACTGCTTCCCCCCGAGTCCGAGGCCATGCCTCTGCGCGGGAAACCGGAATGAGGTTATGCAATAAATTCCCCGGTACGTTACACGTATAATAGAACAGAGCAGAGCTCTCGTATTAAAGTACGAAACAAAGCAAAAATGCGCAAACTGAAGCCCTGATAAGGGCTGATTAACGTAAGATCGCGAAAAAAAAACACCGTGTTACGGTCGAACGAATAATCACACGTCCACCATACGATAGCAACTCGCAATTATCCACCGCGCTACGTCGACAACGAACTGGGAACTCATTCCAAGTAATTTCATAATACGTCCTGGAATATCAAAATACTAGAGAAACTACCTATCGTGTCTAACAGAATTTCCGTAACCGTAGCGCCTGTATCTATATTTCGGTCAAATACATGATATTTTAATATTTAATTAAAAATGTCTGGATGACTCACAAATGTTTTTAATAGTACATCATAACTCTTCATACGAAATACAAACGATTCCATGTATAAACTTTGTTGAATTTAGATCTGGTTAATTATTTCGGTCAAGTACATGGTCCAAAAAAGAATGATTAATTATAATTAATACAATGACACTCACAAACTTTTTTATTTACACTTCAAAACTCTTCATACGAAATACAAACGATTTAAAATAATAATTTTTACCACCGGAGGTTTTGTCCGGTCAAGTACATACGAATATCTACGATGCGTAACAGATGAAATATTATAAGAACACACAGGCCGTGTGAAGCAGTTGTAAATGATTGTGTAGTCCAAGCAGGGGCGTCGACTCAGAATTGTGCCAAATGTAGAGTAACGAATTGGAGAAGGGAGACAAGGGCGGACGGACAACCAAAAAAAAGGCCACGTGATTGTATGAAAACTGTTGCACATATATTTTTAGTTTTTATATATATATTTGTTATATATAAAAACTAAATATGTAATCATGTAGAACACGCAAATGTGGAACTACGGATTTTGTTTCTGCTCATAAATTCATCTATCATAGCTTTTAAATTATTATTTTGTACAACATCTGAATGAATATGCAGAACAGCCGTACTATCTAACAAAATTGGAAGCATCATAGGACGTTGATAAGTTTTTAATCTTCCCTGCCTGCACAATACGTGACAAACACGTCTCTATGACATGTCAACTCATCACACATTACATCGCAGCGACTTCTCGACACGTAATAGACACATTGTTGACATGTGACTAACAGTCAAATTTTTGGTGACAGCAGCGTTGTAGTGACGAATATTTGT